CACACACACACACACACTGACCTTCCACGTACTCCATGACCATGCAGAGGTGTCGGCGGGTTTCGAACGAACAGAACATGGAGACGACAAACGGATTCTCTGCGAAGGTGAGGATGTCTCTCTCCACGAACGCCTGCTGGATTTGGTTCCTCAGGATCAGGTTTTGCTTGTTGATCTTCTTCATGGCGAAGCGCTGCCGTGTCTCGAGGTGACGCACCAGGTACACGGCGCTGACACACAGAGAGGCACGTGCACGAGTTATTATCACTTTACCAAATCTGAATTAATCATTAATGACGTCCTCGTTAGCAAAAGAGAACAGGACTCACCCGTACGCTCCGTGACTAATCAGCTTGATGGTCTGGAAGTCGGCTTCTTCCGGTGGTTTCACTGCTCTGATCTTCCCCTGTGCATCATACATCACAGAACTAATGATTAATATCACCTCTTAACGAGTGTCAGCAGAATCCTTCTTTACAATCAATGAGGCTGCACCAACGCTTTAATGGAAAACACAAATGCAAATACACAGTCACAACAGACGTGACAAGGATGTTGACCATGAAACAAACTTATTTACTGCGATCAAGCGTCTTTGGTGACAACCGACACGAGTCAGTCAACACTGAAATATGGTGCCGGTCTATTTGTGGTGTTACGGTACTGGAGCGAGGCTCCAAGCACCTTGTTTGATTTCTGTTGTGTTTCCGTTGTGGAGTTCTGTAGTTGTGTTAAAAAATGATTTCCTGGGCGAAAAGGGTGAAAATGAAAAAAAATTTAATTTAAAAAACAGATCTGCACCAAATTCAATCAGTTCTTTTCTGAGCATTTTGAGGAAATCCCTGAAGTTGTTTTTTGTAACCAACAAACCAACAAATAAATGGACAGGGGTGAAAATATAATTGCAGACGGAATAACTGTGAAGCTGCCTCAGGTCTTAACTTCAGGCAGTTGGATGAACGCCTCATGTTAGAGGGGATATCCTGGTTTATTTTGTACCTCAGCATCAATTTGTGGAATAAAATGGATAAAGCTTGAAGCCAAGTCAATTGCAGATGAAGAGCAACAAAGACATTGGCCGGCTGGAGCTGATACTGTCATTCTGCAGGAAGAAGGAAGCTAATGGATGAATGTGGAAAAGGACGAATCATTGAAGAAATGATGAGACTGAGGAATAAATAGTGTCACCTCTGTTGAGTCGTCTGTCTCAGGCGTTAAAGGTCCTTCGCTGTCGTAACTATCCAGGTTTACCATTTCTGCAAACAAACATATGGCAGATCAAATTAAAGACTGAATTATATGTTTTATAAATCTACGTCTCTGTGTCCTCCTCACCTTCAATGGGGTCTCTGGTCAGTCCCAGCTGGCAGATGATGTAACGAGGAATGTCCGTCTTCATCAGATGACCCTCCTTGGCGTGGTCCTCCGCCGCCTCCAGCAGATGGTAAAACTCCTCAGGGTTAAACTCCTGGAAACCAGAGCGTCAAGAACCGATAATGTCGTCAAGCAGCAATTTCTTTAGGCTCCTCCATTAACATTAGCTCAGATTGAGGGGCTGATTGATTTGAGAGGCTCTGTGTCGGCCTCCAGGAGCCGTTTCATGATTCACTGCCTCTGGAGCGGCTCCAGGATTCGACTCTGGACGACAGCGTCACTGCAGTTTGTGCTGTTCAGCCTCAGAAGAGCCTTCAGTGAAGTCACAGACAAAATCCTCCATTTAAAGCTACACTTCATGTTGTGTGTCCACTTCATAGTTTCTAAAACCTCCTTCACTTAGTTTTACTTATTTTCCCAGTCCCCATGAGCCGTGAACCATTCAATCAACAGTTTTTCACATTCATTTACTAAATTACTTTATTATTTACTCTGTTTTTAAACCTCGTACTCATGTTCCCTCCTGAATTAAAAACAGTTTATACAATGGGGCCCTCGAAATAATGGAGTCAGGCACCATTGATGGAAGCAGGAAGTACCGCAGGTGGGGGCAGGAAGCGAACACCGAATAGGTCCGGAGGGAATGCGAAAGTACCAGAAACTCAGGCTCGGCTATTTGGCACCAACACTTTATCCTCATTCTCTTCCCCCTGATTCAACAGGGGTGAAGGTGGAAGTGAACAGGCTTCTTCAGCTCCTCATAAAACTGTATCTGCTTGAGGTAATTCAATCAGACCAGAAGGATCTCATTTAAATCCCTCTACTATTACAACTTCGGTTTCAAGACGTCATTCACTGAACCTCTAATGCATCCCCAGGCTGCTGAGACCAACCGAATCGCCAGCGGTGCCAAAAACAAATGGATCCTGCACACGATCCAAACGCAGTGATATGCAGAAAATGAGGGTGGGATTGATTCGATGAATTGATTCTCCGCGTCGCCGTCTCAGCTGTCATTTATAATCAAGACCCACATCAGGGTGGCATGACTCATCTTGGAGGACGCAAGATTGATGCCCTGTTGAAAACACAGTCACACTGCGTTACACACAAACACACGCTGGCATCCTCCTGCTTTAAACGACACCGTGGCTTCAGTCTGTCTGAGTCAGGCTGGATGGCAGCCGAGCCTTAGGGGGCCGCTGCCTGGTATTAGTCAAAGTGCGGCAGGGCAAATTTTAATCTATATGCAAATATGTTCACAACCCAGACAGACCTGGACCAAATCGTACACATCAGTGTTTGCTTGTTTGGATGTTCTGCTCCTGCTGCGTAAAAGACGCCGCGCTGCTTAAATACTCATAAAAAAAGCGACTGTGCTCAAGTTTGTATGAAGAAGAATCGATTTGTTTAAAAGTACGAGAGGAACATTAACTGTGAGATGCTCTGCGATGAAGGATCTTTGAATATTGCAGGATAATTCCGTCAGTGACAGTAAATCTACCACTGTCTGTCTGTACACGGACTGTGCATCTCCAGAACCGCTCATCTCGTCAGGACTCACATTTGTGTGTGTTGTCGAAAAAGGAAGCGCAGGTTTGCATTTGGTGCGATCTGGACACGAGATACGTTCAGTATCAACAGCGCAAGTTCATAAAAACCACTTCCTCTTCAGCTATTTGTCTACAAGGTAAAAGCACAAGGTTTGTTTTGTTGCTGTAATGCTTTACACCATGCAGAATCACAGGTCTTTTATTTTGAAATGTTGCAAACTTGGGTCCGATGATTGTGACGTTTCCGAAAAAAGACGACATGTAATGTAGGACATCATTCAAACTTATACATCAACCACACTCCTGAACAATGATAAAGCAAATTCAGTTTCATTCATTCAACTATAAAATCCTCAGTGCAGATAAACCAGGTAGGATGAACACAAAGTCTTCTAACTGCACACAACGTCCAGTGAGGCACCGACAAATGCGTGTTATCTCACCAGACACTCCAGAAGTCGGGCCGGTCGCGAGATGATGATGAGGAGCTTTTTCACGAGCTCTGTGACGAAGGCGACCTCAGTGCTCTCCGAACGCTCAAAGGCCTGAC